CAACTTCTCCTTGTAGCAACCTACAATCTGCCGTTTTATGACCATGATCATTGTGAAATTCGCACCAGTGATCGGGATTGCGCCTGTTTGAATTCGATCTCATTTCTTTTGGCCACCGCACCTTGTCACCCATGCTTCTTAAAACAGCTACGAGCTCGGAAGTGCTTACATTAAAATTATAACCGCCAAATCTTGCCTTCAAGTTTCTATCATCGTCCCGCGACTCTCGTGTGTTTCGATCATTCCCAAATCTTGATGATGAGCCTGACTCTCTATTCCTCGATTTATGACCGTACCTTGAATTGTCCTATTTTGATCGTGCATCTCTTCCTGCTGGGCCCATATATGGTTCGTACCTGTTTTTACCGGACCTTTTTTCGGTTTCCGCCCGTCTCGAACTTACCTTTTCCCCTTTTTGAGATCGTGAGATAATATCTTCTTCTATCCTTAGCTTCGTGCTATACCTATTGTATACGTCATTCCATGTTGTTGCTGGGAATTCACGAAGACTTTCCTTGAGTCGTCTCGTGGCTTCTGAGCTTTTTTCATTCAAATTACTAGTGAAGGCTATAGCTGCCCAATTGTCTGGTACTCGTGGTAACGTCATTCTTTCACGCTGGAACCTATCCACGAATTCTCTAAGCAACTCTGAGTCCCCTTGCTTGATTTTGAAAATATCCTCCATTCTATTTTCGACTTTTTGAGCTCCCGAATGTGCTTTAATAAACGAAACTGCAAGCTCAGCAAAAGAATTTATGGAATTTTCGGGTAAAAGAGAATACCATGTTAATGCTCCCTTAGTGAGTGTTTCACCGAATTTTTTGACCAATACTGATTCGATTTCTTGTTTGGTCAGGTCGTTGCCTTTTACGCCAGTTGTGAATGCAGTCAAGTGGTCTCGTGGATCAGTTGTTCCATCGTATTTTGGAATATCGGGCATTTTGAATTTCTTTGGAATTGGGAGAGGAGCAGCACTTGGCTTCCAAGGTAGTTGTGAATATTTGTCTATATCTATCACTTTGATTACAGGCGGTACTCCAGGTATTTGTTCTATGCGGTCACTTTGCTCTTTGAGCTGTTTCTGCAATGTTAATACTAAATTTTATAAATCAGAATTAACTAAGTTACCTGGTTCTCCATCTCATGACTCGCTGGGGATTCCACCACTTCCTGAATTAGCAAGCCCAGAACGAGGGTTTTCCAAGGTGTTGGTATTTGGAATTGGTGTTGGTGGTGCAACAGGTAACTGACTGGCAAAGGCTTCAAGAGCTTTATTGACCTGTTGAGCGATTAGCTTTTGCAAAGCTTCATTAATAGCTTCATCATTTTCAAATTGAGCATTTGCATTTGAATGTGACCCATCAGGAGTGCCTTCTCGAGACCGTCAAGGGGAGCTTTGTGGAAAGGAATCGGGGTGCGGTCATCTTGTGAATTCCCCGGGAGTTGAGGGTTTCCTTGGTTTCCTTGGTTTACTTGGTTTCCTTGGTTGTTGTCATTAACGTTTGACATGGTTGTTGATGCAAAAAAGGTTAGACTAAGAAAGAATAGATTATCAGATTTCCGGTAACGCAACCAATTTGTTTAACCAAAAAATAGAATTTCGGTCAAAGCTTTATTTTTAGAAGAACTCGGGTTACTGATAATCGAAAATGAACAGAAGAAATTGATTTTGATAACAATAAGATAGATAGCAGAAAACAAAGTAAATCAGTATATTCAGTTAATATTTTGTGTCTTTACAAATGACCAGTCTTCTCCTTTTTTTAGCTATCTCTAAGATATACGTTTTGCCTTTGTCATAATAAGGTCATTATAGACAATTAAAGGCATTAAATGCTACGTTACATAATCATTGTAATTTACTACAGATTCTCTAACGTTTTTTCAGTATTTAAAGCTTATTAAATACTATATCTGTACTCTCTTGTGCTGTCAGATTCATTCTTCTTAACTTTTAGATTTAAATAGGTACGAGCGTCGAGTCTTTATCTGCTCGTGTCTCTACTTGTGTCTCTGCTCGTATCTGTTGCAACTCGTGCTCCTTGCTTACCATCATTCTTTGACCAGCCTTCGTGTCATGACACGTCATCTTTCAATCACTTCAATATGTAAACTCAATTTTTGCCAATACAGTGGTGTTGATCGTTTCAAGGTAAAAATTCCTGAACCTAACATTTGATGGTGCACGGAGTGCACGTAAATTGGAAAATTTTCTTTTGGGATATGTTGCAGTACTTTCATGCCGTGCAAGATGAGAAGGAGAAAGTAACCTTGACTAGTGTCACGGCCGTGCTTTCTGTCCGCCAAAACCAGCCTGTGCGGCAGCCAACTTGAAGTGCTCAAATATCCACTTTGAACCGAACTACTTAAAACAAAGCCATTGTTTCATAAGTTTCAAAACTAAATAACCTTTTAATAAGAAAATAAAATTTGAACATTAAGACATTGAATAGGCTGACGTCATGGTAGGGGGGAGGGGGCCTGTCACTTTGCTGATCGGAAGTTACCCCGTAAGGTCGACTATATCATGACGTAGCATTTGGATTTGAATATTTAAACTAGTACTTTATACTCTCTCCGTTCCAATTTATGTGAACCTGTTTGACTGGGCACGGAGTTTAAGAAAAAATAAAGACTTTTGGAATTTGTGGTCCTAAACAAGTCAAAAAGGGGCCCAGAGTATTTGTGTGGTTATAAAAGCTTCTTATTAAGAGTAGAATTGTAAGTTTAAGCTAAATTGTTTCCAAATTTAGAAAGGGGTCATTCTTTTTGGAACGGACCAAAAAGGAAATAGGTTCATATAAACTGGAACGGAGGGAGTACTATATTGCAAGAAACTTGACCAGTAAGGAAGTTTAGCCACCTTACGAAAACCCAGTTACTAATACATGTCTCTTGGGGGTCATTTGGTAGGATGCATTAGATAAAATAATACATGCATTAGCTTTGTGTATTAATAATACCTTATTTAGTAGACATTTTGAACCTATGTATTGGTTATGCAAACATTAGTTATACATCCTATTTGGTATTATCCTATGCATAACTAATGCATATAAAACCATGGTATTAGCAATGCAATGGGTTTTAATGCATGCATTAGCTTAGTTAAAGACAAAATTGTCCTTCAAAATTTATGCTTGATTAAAATATGCTAGTTATTATATTAATGCAAGTTTAAAATAATCTAAATAGTGAGAAATAAATTAAAATTATATCTCTAGTAAATAAATAAATACTTAGCATATATTTTTTTTATAAATAAATATTTAGTTCTATATTACAATATAGGTAGACAATCAAATAATATTTTTTAAACTTTTTCATATAAAAACATTTCTCAACATATGTTTCTTTTAAAAAGTTAGAGTGATGGACTGGTTTGAAGGCATTTTTGTAAACAAGCGATTCTTTTAGAAATTGTGCAATGCTTTAATACATCAAACCAAACAATGGAAAAGAAATATACCAGCATAACTAATACCAGCATAACTAATGCAAGCATAACTAATACCAGCATTACTAATACACCCTATTTGACATTATTTTTATGCACCCTACCAAACGACCCTTAGTGCATTTAACAGAACATATCTCTCTGGCCTTATATCTTTAACATGGCATTTATGATCACTGTGTTCACACACACATTTAACATATAAGGCATCTATGTCTCCACCATTTGAAATAGAGTGAGTTTTTAGTAAAAAAAATTGGCGATTCTTCAAAGAGAAAGAAAGTTGATTAAGAGTAAAGTGAAAAGAAAGGAAATGTAAATTCACCGGAAAATATGCCAGAATGCTCTGTGGTGATATGTAAAAGTCAACGAAGGTTAATGAAGGTCAAAGAAAATTTAAAAAAGAAAGGAATTTAAATTTGTCACTAAAGACAACCTTGCTGACCCATTCACTAAAGGACTCGCGAGGGATATGATAATAAGCACAACAAGTGCTATGGGTCTAAGGTAATTTAAATTTGTCACTAGTAACGGGAACCTTACCTTTCTTATTGTTTAACAATATTAAAGGTTTAAAAGGTAATAACAAGTTATAGTTGTGACGGATAGCAGGTACTGGAAATTAGTACCTAGAAAAGGAGGATGAGTATAAAAAATACTCTTAGTGAAGAAGCAGAGTTCGGTTTAGGAACTAAAGAAGTCCGTGTTAAGGATTTGGTTAAATCTTCACCTATGTAAACACAAGAAGTGGTGCCGCTTCGATCAAAGTTTGGGATACAAAACTTGATAAGTGTTTATGAATTCAGGAAGTAGCACAAGGCCATAATTGGGTGCTAAAACTCACGGTGAACAAATTGTGAAGTTGGTACGATTTATGTGTATAAAGTTTTTCCGTCTTGTCAAATAGGAATTGTGGTTTAATAGAACTTAATCTAACCATCAATTTCGACAAGGTCTTGAATAGTTTATACAAGTAGTAGGTTTAAATCGAATGTTAAATACTGTACGCATGAATCTTATACATCAATCACTAACTAAGTGGGGGATTATTATATTAGTTAGTGTTTTGATGGGAGTATTTGAAAAGAGGTGACTTTTGTTTTAAAAGGTGCCTATTGGCAAAGGTTAAGTCTGTTAGTCCTAACAGACACCTAAATGGTTTGAAAGGAGGTGACTTTTGGTATTAAAAGGCGTCTATTGGCAAAGGTTGAGTCTGTTAGTCCTAACAGACACCTAAAGGGTTTATAAATACCCTTTTCTTCTCCAAAACAAAAATCATCAGAAAAGCAACAAAGTATCTTCTTCTTTTCTGCTATCTTCAATTCACCAAATTTGTTCAAGTGAAAATTCGAGTTAATTGCCAGTGCTCGAATTTCAGAGGCTTTGTAAAATCCTGGAGGAATTCTGCTATAATCCCTGCAGCAACGAAATTGGGAGGCTTAAATTCCTTAAGGACAGTGACTACACTATCAAAGCCTAATTATTTCGTCCTTATATTTTGTTATATTTTCTAACAGTTGAATCAAGGGATGTATGGTTAAGAATGGACAAAGAGTCGATCCAACGCTTGTTCTTCTTTGGTGTAGAGGAGATAGAAGCTATTCGTAGTCAAGTTTTACCAACCCATCGTTCAAGTGGACGATTTGAGTTATTAACCTCATTTCTGTGGAAACATCGAGTAAATTCACTCGATCTAAATCCTGAAGAAATTGTGCGTATGTCATATCTTGTGACAGCGCGTGAAAGATTTGAAAGTTTGAAAATACCACATGGATATTACGGTAATGCATTTTCTTTTTCAGCAGTAGTATCAAAAGCAGGACATGTAGGTATATATCCATTGACGTATGCTCTTGAGTTAGTCAAGAAAGCCAAGAAACAAGTGAATGAGGAGTATTTTAGATCTTTGGCAGATCTTATGGTGATTAAGGGGAGACCTATCATATCATTTTCATGGAATTTTGCTATTTCCAACATTGCTCATGTAGGTTTTGATAAAGTTGATTTTGGATGGGGAGAACCAAAATATGGTGGGGTTGCTAAGGCTCATTCATTTGTTAGCTACATAGTGCCTTGTAAAAGTAACAAAGGGGAGAAGGGCATTCTGGTACCAATAAGCTTGCCTCCAAGAGCAATAGAAAGATTCGAAGATTCTATGTACAAGATTATAACTTCAAAGGTCGTGAAAGGTCTCAAGAAAGTAGCAAAGATATAGGTGGCGTTTGGATTGCCAAATAAATTTTACTATGTTTTTTGAAATCGATGTACATGTTTGGATTTTAGAATGAGAGCATAAAGAAAGGGATTGGCTAAATCTTTGATCAAATTGGAATTCTCAGTTCATTGTAATGGGAGACCCTATAATTAATACTCCTGCTTTTCCTTCATGATCTTTCATGTTGTATTTTAACTGGGAGAATAGGTTTGTAATGCTCCCTTCTTTGTTACCTTTCGCTTTCAATGATATATATATGGTAGGGGCTTTGCCAATATGTTGGGTTGTTGTTTTAGAAAAAATAAATATAACTGGTTTTTTTCACTTTATCCTACTACAAATTGCAAATTAATCCTCGAGGGTAAAAGTTTATTCGCACCAGATATTTTTACCAAATCATATTAATTTGTTATAGTTAAGTGATTTAATTAATGAGATGAGAATGCATCATTAATTAATCTGGAAAAATGGCCTAAATGCCTCCTAAACATGCACTGGATTTTTAAGCTGGCCTATTAATTCTTGTTGTTTCCATAACGCCTCTTTACGATAAGAAAACGTATAAAAATCTTTCCTTCAGAGCGTGTATCTTAATCGTCTAACATGAATAACATGTTAGACGCTAAAACCATTTATTGCTTAACATTTATAAATTGTGGGTCCTAAATTTTTTCACAACTAATTTACCAAATCTCTAATATTTCTCCTCTCTCCCTTATTCATAACCATAGCTCCGGTAGGATCCTTCCCCCGTCCACTACCATTTTCAACCTAAAAATCCAAACTTGATCCTATTCAAATCCTAGTATTAATCTGTTACGACCCAAATCCCATAATAGGTGGTGGCGCCCAACGACATCGTTAGGCAAGCCAATAATAAAATCAATACATCGATAGTAAATCCAAAATGCATTTCAAAACAATTAAAGAAATAAAGAGTGAAAGTTCGTTCATTTTCATAAAAAGTATAGATGTCATTATTTTAAATGTTCGAATGTGGCCGAAATATAAACCCAAAATTATAACAGAATACAACCACGAGCAAAATCTAAAGAAAGTATCGTTCCCACGAGGATTTGTGATTTACTATTGTCCAATCTAAATTATTTATAAATTTATTGCTCAAGTGGTGGTGAACAAAATGATGGTGATTTTTATTAACTAAATTACTACAAAACTAATAAGCAAACAAGAAAATAAGATCACAAGTAGAGAAAATAAACACTTATCAAGATATTCAATGAGATGGGAATATTCCGGGGTAACGGGATTAATGTCCCTCCTAATACGTTCTTCTGGTTGATTTACTCACTTGATTTATCTAATTTGTTGATTAGCAGGGTTTATGATGCTCGCGAAGTTCTTTCAACGCTTCACTCACCTATTCAATCTAACCTAATACTATGTCTATAGAACTAGAACTAACAAGAATGCATATAGATTTCCTACGAAAATAACCAAGTTAGGCAACTAGAATATGTCTATCCTAATCCCGAATCTATTCTCCTATGCCTGGATTTAAGAACTTACTATATTTAATCATACATGCAATCTATAGTTCCCACTTTCAAGTTCAACTATAAATTTGTAGATAGCACTCTATTATTAACTACGCAATAGGATAATTAAGTACAACATTGAATAAATAAATTAATATGATAAACTAAGTAAAACAATCAACCGTCAAACTACAATAGCCAATAACGACCCATAACCCCAGAATAATGTGGTTTTTAGCCACTCATGTTCATGACAATAATCAAAATATTATTTTCAAACATAAAAGCTATGAATATTAGATGAAGGATGCAAGAATCGATGAATTCCACGCTCTCGAGTATTCCGTACTTGTGTTTTCCTCTCAAAGTGGTGCCCCCTCCAAAATAGGTTCAAACTTCTTTTTATATGAGTTGGGGGTGTGTAGGGCTGTCAAAAACTTGTCCGAGCAAAATAGAAGAGTGTCCTATCAACCAGCGTCTAGGGTAGCGCATCGCGCTAGCGCTCGCATGTTGGCCAAAATTTTCAGATCTGTAAATTGTGCCTCGGATAGAGCGATGCGCTATCCAGAGCGCTACACTGGCCCATTTTTTTGTTTTGTTCCCTTTTTGCTTCAAATCGTGTACTTCATCCCACTTTTGCTCCGGATGGCTCCTACACAAAAAAAAAATACCACAAATTAATACAAATTATTACATTACACATCCAAAATCTATGAAGTATGAGTAGAATATGAGGCAATATGCATATAAGTATACATAATTTAAGCCGAATATCAACACTCCACATTTAAACTCTTGCTCTCCCTCGAGCAATAGAACTCTCAGCTACACCCCCAATAATTTACATATCAACTATGGAGGAGCAATTCAATTTTCAATCATGCACTCTACCTTTGACTATGGTCGATACCAACAATCAAGTATAAGCATACAAAATTCACATTCTTCCCATTTTAAATATGTCCAAGTACAAACATTTCAATTAAACCAATTCGAATAACCTACTTATACCCATCCTACCTCAAGAGCCAAGTCGTTACTACTAAGCACCCTCATCTTGCACACTCACCCAATAAGAGAAGTTAATAACAGTACAAATCCGTCATGAGATCATGTACCCTCACCAACAAACAAGAGATTGAATATAGAAATACTTCACTCATTGAAATATCACTTTGAACATAAATTAAGGACATCACACAATTGAACAAAATTTGTTCACTCTCACAAAAAAATCATGTGCATCTTGTGGTCGTACCATAAACTTGCACGTAGTGTACATCTCTATTAATCTAAGCTAGCCAAGTCTATAATCAATTAGGTCTTTCGGAATTGTAATACATGCTAAGAGACGGGTAGAATATATTTAAAAATAGTGGCTAATCTTCCTAAGTATTTAAATACACTACACTCAAAAATCGAGCATACATTCTTCTCAACCAATTCACTTGTGACAAATCATACTCGATATAGCCCTTTTCTAATTAAACACTTCTACATCCCCACTAGCATGAACTAGTAGGACTAGAAGGGGTGTGTGTGTTTGTTTTTTTTTTTTTTTTTTGTTACATACACTCCGTACATTAAAGCTCATCGGCTAGAGGCCTTTCATAATTTTAGTGCACCTTTGTTGGCCCTTCCATGGTTCCACTCAAAAGCTATTTCTCAATCTCTCACCTTACTTCTTTTAGCGCCTAAGTGCCTTCAAAGGTAAAGGTTCAACAAGCTTAGGTTAAGAACAACATTAGGGATACGACTTGCAATCTGGGTGCCAAGAAAAACGTCTACAGGCTCAAAGGGGCTAACAATGAATTTTTTTTTTGTTAGTGACAATCTATGATCAAGCAAAGAACTGCCTACATCATCTACTAGACTAGCACAACTTAATAATTTCGCTTCGATTAACACACGGGACATGTTATAGACTATACAGGATAGCACAGAATATCACAAACTCACACACTCACATTGCACGTGACTCAATTAAGACGATTATGTTCAACTCTCAAGTCAAGCAAGCACACACAATTAAGAAATTTAAGCAATAATGCACCAAGTGACATAAAAGTCAAACAACTGAGAAAAGGCGTCACAGAGTAGGCTATTTATTTCACTTAGGAATCACATTTTAAATCAAATAAAACAGAAAGACAGATTATAAGAAAAAATGAGAAAAGACTTTATACAGCTATACTCAGAAAGTAATTCCCCCACCCCACACTTTTTTCATGCATAGTCCTCGATGCATGGATTATAGTGCAAATTATTAAAAAAAAGGGCGAGAAATACTTCCTGATACCCCCTAGGGCCTAGTTAGCAATATGATCCTAAATATTAAGGATCAGGACGATCCCATACTTAAGCTCACACATGCTCCTCAGCTTCAACTTCAGGTACTCAGACTTCCCCTACCCTGTAAAATAAACACAAAACAAAATATAACACTATAATAATAATTATAGTAATAATAATAACAATTATTATTATTATTATTATTATTATTATTATTATTATTATTATAAAATACATGTTGGGTTGCCTCCCAACAAGCGCCTTATTTATAATCGTGGCATGACTTTACTACTCTGCTCAAGCTGGGTGCTTTTGCTTCTTCCTTCTCCCATGAAGTCTATCCATTTTGCACGCTCTAGGAAGATCGCCTCTTTCATCTATGGCTATTTTCTCAATCATCTTTAACACTCATCTTGCAATACCACTTCTTCTAACTCGATTGTCTTTACGATGCTACTAGGCTCCACATAAGAACCTTACTCTATCAACTTCGATTATACCATAGAGATCATGCACTAATCCGCATAATGCTTAGGAAGGTTAAGCACCTTGTACACATTAAATGTGACTTCTTCATCTGGCACTCTCATCTTTAGCTTGCCCTCTCTCACATCAATAAGTGCCCTTCCAGTGTCCAAGAATGGTTGCCCCAAAATAATAGGGACATCTTCATCGGCCATGTCGTAAAAAATAATGAAATCGGCGAGAAATATGAACTTCCCCACTCGCACCAGCACATCTACAATAATTCCTTCAGGCACTGCTTATGACCGATCCGCTAGCTGTAGAGTTATAGTAGTAGGCCTAGGTGCTCCTAAGTCGAGCTGCTTGAACACTAACAGTGTCATCATATTAATACTTGCCCCCAGATCTCATAAGGCTCTACCCACCTCGTATTTTCCAATCGTCAAATGAATTGTAAAACTACCAAGATCCTTTAACTTGGGCGGAAGCTTACTCTGTACTCTAGCACTGCACTCCTCAGTAAGTGCAACCATTTCAAACTCTGTTAACCTTTGTTATTGGCCACAATTCTCTCATTTACTTAGCATATTTAGGAACTTCTTGCAGCACTTCTACTAAAGGTAGATTCACAAGCAGACCAGGTATTGTTTTTAGTGTGGGTCTTTGTGCGAGGTTCCAATCTAATCCAAAAGAATCTCATCTAAAGGTATCCAAGAGAATCCTGAGATATCTCAAAGGGACATA